GCAAATTATCGAAGGAGTGTTAATTTTTTATATCTTTGTTATTGAAATCAAATTGACCTTGGTATCTACTCAAAGAGCAGTTCCACATTTACGTTGTGTTTTTAAGCTGTTAAACTCGACCTTCGGAGTCAGTGACCTCGGGATGCCGCAGTTATATAACGCTGACTGTGGCAGAGACACTGAGGCAGGCTCGAGGAGGAGGTGCTATGTGCTATGTAGCTGTAGAATGTCGGCCGCTGCTATGCTATGGCTGTGCTGGAGATATAACGGTCCGTGGTCAAGGCCTCGCGCTTACATCACATAGCCATGGCTGTTGCGCCACCACTCTACACTCAGTCAGCACTCAACACTACCACTCTACTCTCAACTTGCTACACTCACACTATAGACGTCGCAAAATAAAACCTGCCAATTCCGTACCACAATTTGAGAAGCATTTTTTTTATTGGAGCATATATATCCCCTAGCGAATTTTGGTTAAGATTACATTTGTCACACAATGAGAGCTTCTTTCTCGACGTCTACCCATTGACTTTTCGATACTGAATTAGATATCTCATATAAGTTAAATGGAGAAGCAGTAGCAGTAGCAGATTTTCTTTGTTCAAATAGAATGTGGTTGAAAGAGCCTTTCTATAGTAGTAAATGATGCAATATTTACAAGTTGGCCTTATAAAAAATAAATCACCTTACAGGGTGTAAGAATACTGTATAAATGGATTCAAGGAACAATCATTCGTGTGACTGAGAAGTAAGGACCAAAGTTCATAACAATTTTTTTCTTTGTTTTCGTCTGCATATAGTATTATTCAGCAAACTAAAACCTGACTCACAAAAAAAAAATACTAATTGTAAATGCAAAAATACCTATGCCAACCATCCCCAACTTCGCATGAGGAAAATTGATATTTTTCATCATGCGACGAGTATTACAAATTTAATGGACGAGCACACAACAATTCTTAGAAAAGTCGAATGAAATCGTTTAATTGGAGTCTTTCACTGGATCATTATTCTTTTCGTCTTCCAATTTAATTGGTTATTGAAACTGTGAAAAGTTATACAAGAGACTCATCAATTTATGTTTTGGCGATACGATTAGGTAGGGAAATCCAAATCACCTAATTATAATATTTATTATCAAAGCCATAATTTAACACTGTCCTAGCAGCTTAGCCCACAATCGACCATATTTTACTACAGTGCTCTCATAAACATTTAATGCGCCAGTAAAACAAGTTAATGTTCATATAATGTTCGCGTTTATAGTGCTCCAAAAGTTTTATATCCCAATCCACATTGTTTAAGTTTATTATGTGTTAACTGGTCTTTACTTCAAGTTCATTGGTTATTAAAGATGGTATGGGATAACAGCTGATACTAGTAAACATATTGGTAATAACAACAATGCTGAAAAAGCAATGAAATCAGCTGATTTAATATTAAGTAATCAATATTTTGAGTTTGGCTGGTAAAACCACCCGAACTGGTTAACTACAAAAACGAATTGTCCAGCTGATCTTGACAAAGGCCTTGAAGATGTCGACCAGTTTAAAATACAGTACTTCCTGAATATAGGAATATTCCGAGTCCCTGAATTTCGACACAACACTGTTCATCAGTAAATTAAAAACAACAATTTTCGAGCTACATTGAACGAGTCTACCAGTTAGCTTTCCTATGAAATTTAGATTTGTGTTTATAAATTGGTAACACTTTTTAAGTGCCATTCTCTGTCAATCACAACAAATATTCTGATTTCTAATCTGAATCAAGGTTTGAATCGGTTTTAATTTAATAGTCCCTTGACTTTATGAATGAGGAATGAAGAGTATTTATGGTCAATGGATGTAGAGTATATATGATTGATATAAAAATTATGTTTTATCGATAACATGTTTAAAGTCAATACAAATTAAATTTCAAGTTGTGTGTAACTTTCAAGGCTTAGCACAATTCATATTCTTCAGGACATTATAGTAGGTATTTATTCAACGCCCTATTTCATTTCTAGAAACACAATATTTGATTCTTCAGGGATTCTCTACAAAATCTAAGGCAATCAATTGTTACCGCAGTATCCATCAATAGTGATATGCAACAATGAAATGTATATTTTAATCGAAAATAAGTTGTCCAACAAAAACGAAATTTGAACGTTTTACATCATATTCCAAAATCATGATAACGAAAACGCTGGTTGTGACAAGGCTTTTTCAAAATTCAAGAATAAGCAAGTCCCTGACATTAGTTTATGGTTTGCACAAAGTACGATCTGCATTGCCGACACCCAACAATGAGAATGGTTTAAAGTACGATCTGCATTGCCGACACCCAACAATGGGAATGGTTTGAGACTCGCTGCCGGTAGGTAGCAGCACCACCACCTTGACTGTATATTCAAGACTTTCCGATGACTAGAGAGTTACATAGAATTATTGAGTAAACAGTAAGAATATCACTTTGTTGAACATTCAGTTCGTTGAACTGACTCCGCGCTTGCTTGAACCGCCTTTGTCAGCGCGCTCAACTACTATGTAACTAACTACCTTACAACAGTTTGATTTTAAATGTATGATTTTAATTTGAGTAATTAAATTACTATGGACATTTTGAGATATGACATTTGGAATCCTATACCCAAATTTTTGCCAATTTTACCACAAGAAAAGTTTTAAATCACTTTTGGATGGTTGTAACTTGATTCAGCAGTGAATAATCATTGCTAGATAATCAGCTGGTTTAATCATGACTATCAACAATGTTGTATCTATTTCCAGTGTATATTTATAGTATAGTCAATTAGTCAGAATAGCATTCACGTTGTTCATACAACACTAATAATTAATTCATTGTCTTTACATAGGTGATGTAGTTTGAAATGATGGATTATTGCATAGTTGTGTCTAATACGGATTGTACATAGAATTAATTAACTATTACAAGCAACAAGATTCTGGCGAACTTTTGAACTTTAGCTTAGTCAACCAGACGCAAAATATGCTCAGCTTTTCTCCTCTGCAGATGCAAAACAACAAAATTAGCTGAGTCAAATAATCGGCCGTAACACGATCCCATACTTTCCAACTACATTGAACTATAAATGTAGATTTGTATCAATCAACGCAGTCTGCGTCTAGTATAGCTTCCAGGAAAAATATTATTATTAGCAAACAAAATAAATAATTCATTTACTTTATATACTCACAAACTATTTCCATGACAACCGGCGAAAAGGGTCGAACTCAACGCCCAAATAAGTAAAAGGACAAGTTTAAATAATTACGACTTACAGAACGTTTAACAAACTGAATAGTTTGGATACTGATATACTTAAACCGATCAGGTGAGTAAGAAGTACACAAGCAATTAACTATTGCGATGAAGGACTGGAAGCTACAACTGTACGAGATATAGGGGAGCGCTCTTCACTCATCAGACGAAGGAGAAGGACGAAGATCCTGCGTAAGTGGGTCTCCTGAACTCAACCGGACGTGGATGTGGGATGACCCCCCTCCTGCTCCCCCAGAAATAAGGCCAGATCTCTCACCGAGTCCGAGTTACAACGTTACCGTAACAGCATAACCCTCCTTTCCCTCCAAAAACTAGGTCAAAATTCGCACCGTGCAATGGTTACCTACATTATGTAGGTTGGTTACCTCTTTATTCTCTAAAACGTCTTCCTTATACATTTACGAGGTTACCATTCAAAGTCATTATGAATTGCCCTAAAGTTAAGATTCCTGCTCATTTTTTACATTCGACAGTTTCTTTTTCTGTATATTAACGCTTTTATGCCAGCCAACTGTGCAGAAAAATTAGCTTCTAGATAAATGATTAATACTCCTTGATTTCGACGTAGAGCTATCGCACGATGGATATAATCTGCCTGTATAAACGTGTACAGTATTTATAATAGGGTGAAAGAGTAAAAAAGGATCTTAATAGAGAAAACGGTTTCTAACATAACTTTTCACAGTTATTTAAATATGTTGTACATCCCAATATGCATTGTTCTCAGTGGCGTGAAAGGGGCACGTCAGTAAATATCAAAACAACACACAACAATCTCTAAACGAAACATGCATTTAAACACCTCTAATAACTTACAGTTAAAACATACTACATAGAACTTAGACAAGCCTCTTCCGACTCATAAAAATCAAAACACTGACACAAACACAATAGGTTGGATAGACAGCAAAGCACGCGAAACAACAGAGCTATTTTGAAAATATTTGAGTGAAGGACATCGCTGCAAGACCAGAACATTTACTCTGAGCGATGACGCAACGGTTACTCAACAGTACAGCCGAGTCATTCAAAGGGACCAATCTTGTATTTTCCTTCGATGACTCGAACCCTAACCCTCACATTGAAACGATGTAATAAGTCATTACGGATGTGTTATGTTATCCAACTCTCTCGGAAGAGACTTATCTCAGTTCTATTCTTGACAGAATTACATAATCTCTGAGGAGATAACAGCTGATTCACGTGGCCAGCTCACGTGTTCTGACACTAGACATAATGCAACCTAATAACTATGATGGAGATAACGAAAGGTTTTTAACTTTTTGTAAATATTTTTTATTGTTTATATGCTGGTGTAGAAAATGTGTATACGATAATTTAATTTTAATTAAAGAGTGATGAAAACACTATTTTTATAAAAAATTGTTTAATTTAACAATATGTAGTGAAAATTTTTAAATCAAATTGTTGTTTTTTATACTAATATTTATCAGAATAAAAACATTTTTCAAAAATTTTAGTGTTTGAGGAAAAACATTATAAAATATTTCAACGAACAAACAAAAAGTTTTTAATAGAGTTTAACTACAATTGTGTACAAAGTATAAATTTCCATAATGTTCTCCTATCAGAAACTAAACATTTTCGAAACATAAACAAATAAAACATCAAAGTGTCAAAATCTAAGAACACCGAGGACCACTTAAAAAATTAGCAATTAAGCTACAATAAAATAAAATATTTACCAGAATCGTATCCAAGAAATAAACCACAACTGCGTTGTCAAAGTAACACATGCACTACACTAGCACTGGACTGAAGTAATCGGTGTACGTACAGTCGCACTTACAGAACTGAACTGAGTGTAGTCGGCGCTTCGGCTCTAGCAGGTAACGGAGCGGGGCTAGATGGCGTCATCCAATGTCAGCAAGGGGGGGCGGGGGACAGTGGTGGGGGGGATCAACACCCTCTGACTCACTAATCATCGCACCTTTAGGTCACTTTGGCCTTATGTAATGTGGCAACTTTATTTTGACTTCATAATTAACCTTGGATGTTACCTGGCGCAGTGCGATCACGTTGATTTGCAAAGGTACCAATGAAATAATACTTTATCTAGTTTCGGAAGGTATTTGACATATGACGCAATAATATTGTGGATTATGTTTGACTGGAGAATAATAGACACCTCTTCTCTACAATATTTGTAGCTGGGGCCGAATAAAAATCAATGTTACAAAATAAAATACTGATTTATGTGATTCATATTTATGTGATAATATTTCAGTTGTATAAGCATAGAAAATTAAGGTGAAAAATGTTTTGACAAAACCACACGCTCTGTAAGTGGCTTATTAAAATAAAAACTATTTTATTAAGGAATTGGCTACAGCCAACCCATATAAATAGAATGTGTACCCTCGTATCATCCGCAAAGACGAATAGACGATTACTGTAATATATCCAGTGGCGAAACTTACAGTAACACCAGACCACAGAAACTGGGAACCCAGATGGTTCACACACTTTTTGGAGTCTTCGGAATTTTTGTCGTCGAATATCTTGACGTCCAAAAATATTAACTACATTTAATTTTATTATTTCCTGGTATTTTCAAAGCATGAACAATTGGATTCTCTACCAATTCATTGATTTAATTATTAATTCTTTCTCTCTATTTTTGGTATCATCAGTCATAAAAGGGGGCGCGGGAGAAATCGTATGGTGTAATCGGAAATCGTCAAAAACATTTATTGCAACCAATAAACTATAATACGTTCGGCACAAGTAAGAAATATACTTACTAAAAGCACAGACAACAGAAACCATTAAACATTAAAGTATTATATTGTCTGTGCTAAAAGTGTGAAATGTACAGAAAACTGTGTTACAACTTACGCTTAAAGATAAAATATGTAAGTATTTAAAATCAATTAAATGATCCTATGATGTTTTTAAATTATAGATAGCAAATTCTAAAGTGTTAAAATCATTCAGAACTGTTATACATAAACATATACAACATTGAACAAGTGAATTACACTATTATACGCTTCTCTCACTAATTCGCTGTTCTAAAAATATTTGCCGAAAAATATTCGTGAATCTGAAACTATTATTTTCCTTACATAACGACACCCAACAAAAAAATTCCAATTAAGGAATTAACTTCACCCACCAACAGTACTAAAGCTAAATACGTGAGAAAAACCTTTCTTTATTTTTCAATTTAATTTTGAAGTTTCAAAAACATCTTTCGTACAAGGAAACCCCTATAAATTAATTATCTTAATCCAATGACATAACACCCTTGCTATGATACCATGCACGTTTTCACACTCAGCTGTTTTCATTTAATGCTGTAAACATTGTTGTTATCAATTCTTACCTGTAATTGTTTAACAATGTTGTTATCTCTAAAACTACTTGAAGGTAATATAGGTGGGTGGAGTTCAAGTGTTTTTGTTTATCTAAGATATTTCCAGCCTTTTATCTCTCCATATGGGGTAATATGGGTCAATGGGGAGTATGGTTTGAATTTGTTACTCATACAATTTTATTTGCGAGAATTTCCCATACGGGGAATAAGCTATAATCATAGGTCTCCTGGGCAAATTATTCGTTAAGATGTAAATCGAAAACAACGGTGTACCCTAAAATTACCAATATATGTTCTAGAAGTTACATGTTTCTGAACTTATTATATTTTAAAACTTCAATAAACAGTAAATACCTAATTTTTTTATATAATTTGATCGACTGATGAATTTTTTTAAGAGACAAGATTTGAAATTTGTTGATTATTGATTATCTAATGGCAAAAAATTGTCAAAAATGGGTCTCTTGATGGGATTTGGTTATTTAAAATATGATTGGGATTTTTTATTTATTTATTTTTTTCAATTTATATATTAATTAATTAATTAATTATTTATTTATTTATTATTTATTTATTTCCTTTATTTTATGACATGTTGTTCAGTTGAATACATTATGTTATCTTTGTTTAGGACTTTTAGAATTTTAATGTTATTTGTTAAGATTGTGTAATTAATTGTGGTTGGTTGAAAAGAGATGTTCAGCAAAATTTGACTTCATGGATGTTTTATTATTACTTATAAGAGCTTGTATGTACTCTTTACATCTAGATCAAAACGAACGGTTTGACTACAGTAATTTAGAATTTTTCTCAAACCTTCAGTCAATTTATTAGTTCATTTAGTTCAGGTAGTTAAGTATTTAGTGATGTGTCGTACATATCTTAATAATCTATTAATAAATAAATTAAATTAAATTCTTTATAAACTTCTTCATAAACTTAGTATGATATAAATAAGTTTGATCAAAATATATCCATAAACAAGCAAACTAGACTTTATTTATTCGTCATATAAATAATCCGATCTTAAAATTAAAGTTTTTTTAGAATGCTCTAAAAAAACTAGTTTTTTAAAACTAGTTTTAAAATGCTATTGGACGAAAAACAGCTTTGGAAAATAAATACACTTTTTTAGTTTGCTTGTTTATATTGTTTGATATTTGTATCAAATTTTGCAAATTTGTCTATTTTATACTAATCTCTTAAATAAAGTATTTTAATTATTTAGTTTGGCTTGTTTAACATGATTTAATATCATTTAAAAATATTTGGGTTAAAAAGTAAAACATGCTAATTTACTAACCTAACCTGACTAAACGTATGCATGAGTGATGAAGATGGTAAATGATCACGATTTCCTACAAAAGTTAAGTATTTGCAACATATTATGTTGGCAGACATGTTTACATCACCTGTGGTTGTGTGCGTAAGTTTACTGCGACGCTACGTAACCTATATTGATCGGATGGAATTTACCATAGACCGATGGCCGGCCCACGTGCTGCCTTGTTGACCCAAAGACTTACAGATTCACGTGCCCGACCTCTTATTACATTATTTAATTTATCGATTATTTAACGCGATTGTAAGATGTTGGTTTAAATGTTAATATTGACTTTCCCGGACGCACGGTCTTGTACACGTGAGGGCTTGGTGTGGAACTTTACTGGCAACCGAGTGATCCGAGGTCAAAAACGTTTGGAGAAGTAGTTTACCAGCTAGCAGATAAGGTAGTGTGAAAATTGTGCTAAGGTTTAGCTTAAGCGAGTTTGGAAATTCAACAATAGAGTCATATTGACTAAACTAAGTTAGGTTGTTAAACTAATGTAATTTGTGAAAATCTCTAACAACACATGAATGGTAAAAAAATATTGTCTTTAAATGGAAATGTAAAGCGAGAAATTTGTGAAAATGTTGATTATGTTACTAGGCGTACAATTTCCATAAAGATGAGTCAAAAAGTGGTTTTCACGACTTTTCGGATCTGGTATCTGTACCCGTCACCATTCCAGAAGACGATAAGTTATTAATTTTCTGTTTTGTGAGGATTACGTTTTAGCGAATTTCCCTATAGAGAAGTATATATTACCGTAGGTCTCATGGTAAGACCTAGGCCCGGGACCGATTTACTTTTTCATTTTGATGTCCCCAGAGGCCAAAAACACCATTCGTTCAAATTTTTATATATTTGTGTGAGTGTCCATCCAGACGATAACTTGAGTAATTTTTCTCCGATTTTGATAAAATTTGGTTTAAAGGTGTAAGGCGGGATAAACTTGAATGAGTTCGCGAACCAGCACGATCGGACCATGGGAACGGGGCTTTACGGGGGGTTTTATGGGGTAAAAATTAGTTTTCCTCACTTTTGACCCTCAAAACACAAAATTTCCCAATTTCTCTTTAGACCTTTTTAAAAAGCTTAAAAAAATAAATAATTTAGTATATAAAAGTATTTTTGTTCGATTATTAGTAACGGAGAAAATTAAAAAAATTGTAAATTTAAAATTCCCATGTTATTCTTATGGAGAATATTGTCTTAACTAATTTTCTTATTTTTTTCCTTAAAACACAAAATTTATAAATTTTTCTCCAGACCTCTTTAAAAAGCTTTAAAAAAAAACAAATAATTTAGTATATTAAAGTGTTTTTGTGCGGTGTTTGGTTACAGAAAAAATTCCAAAAATCGTTAATTTAAAATTCCTATGTTATTCTTATGGAGAATATTGTACAATGTTGTACTTGGCTTGTTTATGGATATACAGGGTGAATAAAAGTCAAGACCCCCCCCCCTCTAATATATTTCCAAGTAAATATACAGAGATATCCTTTTGGTGGTCGTGCAATATTAGCAGGAAGTTTCCTTTCATGATTTTAAAATTTTAGAGTTTCCCCCCAAAAAGGGGGGATTTGGGGGGGGGGAATTCAAATATTTTAAATGTAAACCCCCTTCAAGTGACACCCCATTTTGAAGTGTTTACAAAAACTTAAAGAATTGTGAAAACTAGAGGTCACTATCTCGTCTCTGTCCAAAATGGTAGCGCGTCAAATGTTGTGGAAAATCAATGGTAATATTGGTTCGTAATGGTAATATTAGCTACCATTTTGGATAGAGAAGAGATAGCGAACTCTGATTTTCACCATTCTTTAAGTTTTTGTAAACACTTCAAAATGAGGTGTCACTTGATGGGGTTCACTTGATGGGAAAGTCACAATGAAAAGTTTTTAGTCGCCCCCCAAATCCCGCCTTTTGGGGGGACACTCAAAATTTTTAAATGTAAACCCCCATTTGGCGGATTTATTTATTTCATACTAAGCTATTGATATTTTAATAAAAACATACTTTATTAGTTTCCCTGTAGCAGCTAACCTAGGTACTCGTTAAACATAAATGTTAATTTAATAGATTAATTGAAAATCAATCTAGGCAAATGGAAATTCGCTTAGTTGGCAGGTTTGCTGCAGTAGGGGTATTTTTATTATAG